AGGGGTGCCCGTTTTTAATGGACGGGTGCCACCATGCTACCATCCCTTGAAACTTTCCCTATTTCTCCTGTTGCTACCGTTGCAACATTGCAAGGGTAGCAACGTTTATAAATTTTATAAATAATGTTGAATTTTAATATATGTTGATATTTGTTCTCGTGTCTAAAACTTTTTCAATAGAGGGTAGCAGTTAGTGTTACAAAAAAAAAGGCATGTTAGTTCAAGAATTAGATATAGCGAAACGTCTAAATTTAACCAAGTGTTAGGAATTTGCTTATTTAGTTTATAAATAAATTTCTTTTTTTTTTTTTTTTTTTTTTTTTTGCTGCAAGGACTAACATTTTTGTATGTCTCAACAGACTCTTCACTGGGCAACTCCTAATACAAAAGATAGAATGCTGGAGGCTGGTGCCTCCCAAGTACCTCAACCCAAAGCAGGAACTAGACGCAGCTCTGAGCAAGGTTTGCTGTATAGCAGGAGACAAGAATCTGTCACAGTTTCCAGACCCACTGAAGGATGGGAACGAGATTCTTCGGATGTTATGAAAAAGTTCAGGAATTATGAAATTTAAGAAATTTAAATTACGTATTATACTTGCAAACCCTAGAAAGAGCCTCGATGAAAGTCATAAAAGTCTAAGATTTCTTGAAAACTCGTGGCTATTTGGTCAAAAGAATTGTTTTGCCACGAGTGTTATATAATAAATATTTTTAAGAGAGGAATATGTGATGTGATTTTAGGTTTATAATTTGTTTATGTACAGTGGTAAAGCCCAATAATTATACGCAGTAATTGGCAAAGCTAAGTTTTAAGTGATGCAAGTAATGGAAGCTAAATTAATTACACTTGATATTTGCAATAACTGGAGAGAACGTTAAAACATTATCGAATATCAATAAAATCAAACCAGTTAGACCGGGGAAAATATATATTTTTGAGAGGAGGTGCAACAGAGCTTAGTTACCAATTTAAAATTATATTGCTCCCCTCAAAAAAATGTCTAACAAATGAAAAATTGCCAGTATTGTGATAAATGCAAACAAAAGGGTGATAAGGATTAAGGTAATTTACACCAGGAATAACACGGTGAATGACTCATTTTTAACACCCCGTAAACACATGTGTGAATTTAGTAACGCCAAAGATCGAAGTGTGTACCCTTTTTTTTTCTAACCGGAATATACTTTAATTCTCTTAACCCAACCTTCCCTTCCCTGCCACTCAGTTTCACTCCCACTCATATAGCGTAGTAAATAAGTGAGTATATTGTACATTTTATAAAATCATTGCGAGGACATTTTAATGATTGGAGGCATTCTGTATTTACCGAGTTAGTCCTTCCAGACATTTTCTAGGAAGGATGCTGTCAACTAATCCATTTGGAAATTCATTTGCAACAAATTCAGGTAGTGAACTAAAAAAAAACTATATGCTTACTAATTTTATAAACAGGTCAATCAAAGTAGACTTTCTATTACAGGTAAATTTCTAAACTTGTACATTATTTTTGTGAGTCACTTAACTATAAATGTACATTTCATATATTACATAACGTGGCATGTACTACTGGGTTTTATTACCATTTACCTTGTAACGTTAAAATTTTACCATTTGGTCAAGGTTCAGGATTGTTTTTAATATAAAGGATGCGTGAATCTTCATAAAATTTGAAAACCTTTGCTTTAGCCTAGCAAATTCACTGGCATAGCAGACCAACTGATACGAGTTTCACTAATATCAGTACTGTATATTCGTGTCCGTGGTATAACAGAAAGACCAAATCCCTTTCTCTCAAAACTAGCCTAACCGCTCTCGAAAGGCTACTTAATGTAAAAACATGCGGAAGTTGCCCGCTAGGTTCGCAGTGATTTGTCTCATATTTATTATTTGGCTGGGCTCAACTCTAGCTCCTGAGTCTTTTGAGGGTGCTGATGTAGTTGCTTTGCCTCGTGCGGTTATTGATATACATTTCGTGTGCCTTTAAAAGGATATGTGCTAATTGAAATTATTTAATTCCAGCTTCTAAATCACTTGGAAGAAATAGTTTATTACTCATAGGTTTTTGAGGGAGTTGAGCTGCAGCTCCTCCACCTATTGAAGGTTTTGAGGTTATTGTTACTATGCCTGTTGCGTGTGTTAATTGCACAGGGACCGAGGAAGTCTTCGACACGGCCTTGTGAAGTAGTGGTTGTCACATAAGGAAACACATTATATCCGGGGCTTTATACCACTTCATATGTGTTGTAAGCTACAAAAAAATGACGTTTATTTATAAAAGATATGTATCAGTTTTGCACATTGTTATTTATTTTAGACACGCTTGCGATCACTGTACAGTCTGTATAGTTAATATTAGATATGTAATAATAACAGAATTATCATCGAATGTCGGATTTATTTATGATGTGGAAACATGGGAATTATTCATTATGGTTTATGAAGCTCAGAAATAGATAAAAACAATACCAGGGAGTGATAATGATAAAAGGTAAACTTTTTTATAAGTTTGTTCTTTTAAACGAATAAAGCTTAAATATCAAATCATACTTCATCTCTTTACAATTTACTATTCTAATATAATCTGCCATTTGTTACAGAAAAGCACTAAATATTCTTTGTTCTGATCACTCTTCTCAATAATTTTTGGATCATTTATATAGTGCTTTTATTATTATTATTATTATTATTATTATTATTATTATTATTATTATTATTATTATTATTATTATTAAGTACTCTGTGAAGATCATACAGTCAGGTTTTAATAATTTTAACCCAAAATGGCTTTCCGTCTGTAAATCATAACTTAGCTAGATCACCTTATTTATACCAACAGCAATGACTAGGGTTCTTCGTTTCCTTCAGTTTACTGATGGCGGAAACTTGTGGTAAACTAGAGCTTGGAGTGGGTCTTCCGTCCCAATACAGCCATGATGTTGCCAGAAGGTTTGTCTACGGGAAGGAACACCTCATTGTTCTCCCTGCTGCCCACCTCCTTGAACTTGCTAAAGTCCACGCTGAAGTAGTGTTTGTTAGGCATCGTCACTCTCATGGTGGCAAGCTGGTAGAAAATGAAATTAGAAAATGTCATGGTCATAATTGTTGTTGTGTCTCGAGGCCTGGAAAACAGATAATGACACGCCATCCTATCATCCTACATAACAAACATATTGTTCCCAACGGATTCAGCAATTGATATATTCCTACTGCCAAACGTAACCCTACCGCTTATATAATCTGATTATTGGCCTTTTAAAAAATCTAAATTTAATAATTTAGAATACATATAAACCAAAAAAACCCGCACATGGAAGAAAACGAGCCCCGACGACTTTCGTCACGGTATTGTTTCCCTTTTTTTTTATTTAGATACATTAAAAGTAGTCTAAAAATCACTACTTATATTTGGTAAGTTGCTTATAAACTTTCACGCTAAAAATTTACAAACAAGGCTGTATGCTGTGAATAAATTTTCATAAAACGTTTCACAGGAATCACGCCACATCTTTCCACTCTTCACCAGTAGCTAAAGGCGACGATTGCAGAGAACAACTTAAAGATACAGAATCTCGCTTTGGCTTCATAGGTTGCATAAATCAGCAAGACAAAAGATATTTCTACTTCAAAAGCTTTTGTGAAAACATGATTCAGTTATATTCATGTAACAATGGATAAAGGTTCAAGGAATTGTTGAAATTATATGTGGGATCGTAAGTGAGTATATGTAACTGGTTTTTTGCATTAGCTAGGTGATTAAGTGGCTTTTGAGAAGAGTTAAATTATTTCAGCCGGGTTATTTAACATACACTTAATCTTTAAATGATTCTTTAACGTCCATAAATGTTCTTAATTCTTAGTATCAAGTGTGCATGCAATCCTATTTTGGGTTATTCCCCCTAGAGTCTCAAAGGGTTTAAAATCAGGGGTTTCCAGGACAATTTAGAACGGTTAGCCGACGAGTAATTCAACATTTTTTGGAATGTGGCAGGGCAAGATCCTGCTTGAAAAGGCTTCTCCATCGGAAAGCCTCTCTCCACAATGATAAACAAAGAGTTGCCCAAAATGCTTATATTTGTCACTTCATCATTCCCTCAAAAGTTAACAAGCCATCCCGGGCTTTTAGCAGTAAAACTATCCCAAAACATTTTTCCCGGTTGGTTTTTTGGTTGTTGAAAGTGTCCATTCCGAAGAGTTGCCCTTTTCTCCGCCACTAAACCCCTGTCTGTCCGATGTATTCAAATGGACCTCGTCTGAAATATAACTTTCCCATTCATCTGTCGTCCATCCCTTATACGGTGCCCCCAGAGCCTTTTTTTCAAGACTACAATAATTAAATTTTTTTACGGTTTCCGGCAGTTTTGGGGCCAACTTCAAGGAGCCTTCGTCGAACAGTTGAAGAATCATCATTTACGCAGATGAAGCCAAATCTTCTAGACTTTGCTGGTTTTCTTTGGGCCCCTTTTCACTATTTCTTATAACTTTGTCATCGTGAGATGTTGTCTTGCGATTTCTTCCACATCTAGCTCAATTCATCTAACTCTAAACATCTAACACACCACTGTCGTCTGCTCTCTTCAGAATCTGACCAACAGTTGACTGCCAGGCCAAATTCTTGGCGATCTGTCTGACACTCAAACCAGCATGTTGACTAAGAATATAATACTTGCACGTTCCTGTGTGTAATATCCATCATGAATTTCAGCAGTAATCATGAATATAAGGTAAGAATTTGGCTAAACGCATTCACTCAGGAGCACACTTGCAGGAATAACCTTACAGAAACAACAGCGGGTTGTAGCACTGACGAGTCTCTCAAGAAAACACCACAGAGGGAGGGGTCCCAGAAAGCGGTAGCAAACTCTTCTGAAATGAAAAGACCCAAACTGCATTAATTAAGCCGGAGATTGAACATATTATGAGTTATCACAAAAATTTTCTCCTGTTCCAATTAATTTGTTACATTACTGTATCATCACTTATCGTGCGGAGGAGCCACATGTACATGGTGCATCCAATAAAATAAGCAGATTCTTGAATGGGCACTACCCCCCGGCTCTGGGGTGGATTGCCAGCATCTTTGGAAGGTTAAATCACCATCACCAAATGTAGACCAACGAAATGTAAACTTTGCCAGATAGACAATTGCCACACATTGCGTCATTATGTTACTGGAAGCGATAGTTAATGAATTCAGAGACAAGTCACTTAGAAAAGTTCAAAACCAAAGTATTTTAAACCCCAGTGGTATATTACAAACTATTCTGGAAAAATACTGTAAAAAAAAGCATTATCATTACTCTGTTAATTAGTTTTCCTGTATGTGTGTGACCTGAGTTCATGTCTGCATAAATAATTTATTACTATGGTTTACCAGGTAAAAAACATGTAAGCAGTTCATTACCACGTAACTTGTACAGCTATCATAATGGACCCATTATGTACCGCCCATATGATGAGTATGGGGTACATAATAAAGATGTTAAAATAAATAGTGCTTCAAAAGATGTGAGACAGAAAGAGACCAATCAATAAAAGTGGCGTATCACAGTTATTCTTTGCCTAAAATCCTAATTCTAAAAGTTAAGGATTAAAAGAGGGGGATTAAAGAAAAAAAAAAAAAAGGGTGCACCCCAAAAACCCTACAAAATAACTGTTTAGGACGAAATAACCGCCGGGAAAGAAAGCTTCCACCCCCCGCCCATTTTCGTATAAACGCATTCCAAAGGGGCAAGTTGGGAAAAAAAACGGTTTTGTATTTTAAAGGGAACAAAGAGGGGTCCATTTCCTTTTGAAATTTTTTGGGTTTTTACTTTATCCTTCCATAAAAAATTTTAAAAACCCATGCGGGGCCCAAATAAAATTTAAGCAGTAAATTCCCGTTTTTAAACCGCTTTGATAAAACCCATAAAAAGGCCCGTAAAATTTAAAAAATTTTTAAAGTTAAAATATAGTTAAGAATTGGCAAAAGTCCCAACCAAAAAAATTTTAAAAACAAATTTTTGGAAAAAAGTTAAAAAAACCAAGGAGGTTCCAGAATGGTGGGAAAAAGAAAAAAAAAAAAGGGGAAATAAATAAAAACAAAAAAGTTTTTTTTGACAAATAATAATTTTAGGAAGAATTTTAAGGGCAAAAAAAAAGAAAAAGCTTCCCCGGTTTGGTCCGATTTTGGGAATTTAAAATTTCATAAATACACGTAAACCAAAAAAGGGAAATTGGGAAATAAGGTATTATTTTTTGGAAAAAAGAAAATCCAAAGTTCACTAAAGAAAACCCCCAAGGGGAAAAAAAGTGGGAAAAAACCCACCCCGGAAAAAATTTTTATTAAAGAAAAAAAAATGAAGTGGACCCAAACACTTTAAAATTTTTTAGGACGTTAAATTTTGGGGGAAAAGAAATTTAGGCATGGAAATTGCCCATTTTAAAATTTGGGGAATAATTGAAAATTAAGGGGAAAGGTTGGAAAAAAAACCATAAAAAAAGGGGGAAGGGTTTTTCCCAAAATTTTTAAAAGAACCAAAAAGGGGAAAAAAGAGGGGGTTTTTAAAAAAAAAACCTATGAAAAAAGGGGTTTTGGAAAAAGAAAAATAGGGGTTCGCCCCACGGGGAAAGGAAGGGGATTTTAATGTCCGGGGGCGATGGAATTTAAAAGCGGGTTGGGGAAAATTGGGGAGAATTGGGAAAAAGTTTTTTTTAGGTTGTAACAGGGGAGAAATGGAAAGGTAAAAACAAAAAGGGGGGGAAAAAAGAATTAGGGTGTTTCAAAATTAAAAAAAGTTTTAAAAAAAAAAAATACTAAGAGGCCCTCTGTGCTAGGAGGGGGGAAAAAATTTACAAAAATTCTACCCGTTCAGTTTTTTATTGTTTGGAAATTTTTTTTAAAAAATTTAATTTTGGCCCTAAAAAAAAAATTAAATAAAATTTAAACCGGGGAAAAGTACCCCAAAAAATAAATAATAAACCAAAAAAATAATTATTTTTAACAGGGGGAAATTTTAAAACATTTTTAAAAAAAAACCAATCAGAACAAAAGTGGGGAAAATAAAAAGATTTAACAAAACAAAATTCTGGAATCACCCAAAAATTACCCCATACAATAAAATTTAAAACTTGGGTTTTTAGGTTTGTTTTTAAGGTTTTTTTTGGGGATTAACCCCTTTAAAAATAATAAAACCCTAAAAAAATGAAAAAAACTAAACTTGGGGGAAGTTTTAAATTATTTTTAAAAAACAAAAATTCCCGGGATTTCAGAAAATAATAATAATAAAACTTTAAAAATTCGGGAATTTTTCCGGTTCGGGGCCAGTTTTAGGGAAAACAGTTCGGGATGTTTTCTAAAGGGTTTCAAGCCTAATAATTTTATTGGGAAATGGAAAATCAAAATTCGGGAAATACGAAGGGTTGGGCGGTAAAAATTTTTTTTTCTGGGAATAAAAGTTTAAAAAAAATAGTAAAAATCGGCCCTTTTAAGGGAAAGGGGAAATGTCAAAAATCCGAGGGGTTTCTGTAATTTTTTAGGGAGATCAAAGTTCGAAGGGCTGGGTTTTTTTTTTTGGGGGTTAAGTGTACTTATTTTTCCCCGAAGTTTCAATAAAAAATCTTTTTCTAGGGAAGTTTTCCAATGCTTCTTTAAAAGTTCTTAACTAAAATTTTAGTCCTTTCAAAAAGGAGCCGCGCCGTAATCTAGGTGGGGCCCTTACAATGCTGAAATATACCGGGAGTTACTGGAGTTTACCTGGAGAGGTTCCGGGGTCAACGGCCCACGGGGCCCCGGGTCTTTGACCGGCCCTCCTGGGGATAGATCCTGATCAACCCGGGTGTTACTGCTGGCTGCACGAAAACCAACTACGAGCCCCCAAGCCCGGCGGGTCGGGAACCGACTTTAGGTGCTTGTCCATGCCAGCTTGAAGACGCCAGGGGTCTGTTTAGTAATCCCCTTATGTTGCGGGGGAGGCATTTAAAGTCTCGGGCCCCTGCACTTTTGATGGTCTTTTAACGTGCAGTGACCCCCCTGAACACTTCTTGATAATTTTTCCAGTAATCTTTTCCTTATCACTAGGCTTAGGGGATTGCTGTCTTGGTTTTAAGGGTTATCCCTTATATAACCCCCAAACCCCTTTTCCAATCTGTATGGCTAATTTTTTACACTTTTTTAATTATAATCCCGGGGTTATGACACTCCCCGACTTCTAAACCTTGCTTTATCTACTTTGAACTGACCTGCCACTTTTTTTGACCGGTTTTGAGTTTGTCTAAATCCTCCTGAAGTTCCCTGATATCTACTTTTTAAATCAATTATCCCCCATCTTTGTGTCATCGGGAAATTTTGCTATGATTTGTAATTCCCTCATAAAGATCAAAAAAAAACAACAAACGGGTTTCCAAGCTGACCCCCTGGGAACGCCTTGTTACAGATCCCCACTCAGGTTTAACCCCATTTATGCACACTCTCTGCTTCCTGTCTGTGAACCAGGGACCGACCAGAGACCTTTTTCCCCCCAATGCCGTGGGCCCACTTTTTTTAACAGCTTGGTGCGGACCTATAAAAAACCCTTACTAAAATAAAAATAAACAATAAAATTTTCTTTATCGGGTCAACAGCCTCAAAAACTTTATAAGAAATTTAAAAATTATTTTTGACAAAACGGCCTCTCGTAAACCCATGCTGATTCATTAATTTTTTATCTTACCAGATGGTTTCTTATAATCTCAGCCTAATTGACTCTAGCAAATTTGCCACAATTGAGGAGGATTTTTGGGCGGTAATTTGAAGGTAAACATTGTCTCCGTTTTAAAAAATGGGGAATTACTTACCATCTTCCACATATCAACCTACACCTGTTTGAAGAATAAATTAAAAATATTAGTTAATGGTTCACAGAGTTCCTTTTTTGCTTCCTTAAGAACCCTTGAAAAAAGTTTATCGGACCCGGCGATTTTTTTGCTTCATCGGCCCTATTTTTTTCAAAAACCATTTCATAGTGACGCGATGTTCATAATATCTTCTTCTCCCCCCACTAAAAAATTAAATTACGGGATTTTTTTAGTGTCTGCCTGTGAAAAAAAAACCGAGAAAAAAAAATTTATTTAAAATCGAGCACATTTCATTCTCTTTGCAAAAGTGCCCAATTTTTTCTTTTGGGGCCCTTCTTATTTTAAATTTTTTGTTTAACCCGGGAAAAAAAACTTTTGGGTTAGTTTTGCCCGTGCAATTTTAAATTTCGTACTCCCTTTTAGCTTTTCTTGCCCCCCTTTTTAACGCCCCCTCTTAATGCAATTACTGTTTCAAAAGATGCCCCTTACCCTTTTGATCGTCTAAAAATTTCCTTTTTTCTGGCCTAAAAGATATTTTGAGCCTATTATTCATCCTTTTGGGGTCATTTTTTTTTCGATCTAATTTCTTTATAGGGAAACAAATGTTCTTTGGAGAAAGTATAGTTTTCAAAAACCATACCCCGGGGGGGTTTTTAAACCCCGGGGTCTAGTCCAAAACTCCACCCCGTGCGTTAGTCATTTCAGAAAGCTGTCATATTGATAGCTCTCTTCGTTACCCCATCTCGATGATAAGTTTTTTCTCTAACCCAGAATCTCTAAGCAAAAAAACTGGGACCATTTCGAATTATCCCACGTCTACTTCCTTCTATGCTAAAGGTAATTGATTTGTGATCCGCTTTGCCCCATTTCCCCTGTAATTTCTAAAATTATTAACAGGGGTTTTCCCTGTTTGCCAGAGCCAAGTCAAGCAGGTTATTTCCCCTTGTAGGTTCTGTCACAAAAGGTTCAAAAAAAAAGTCCGAACTACTAAAAAGTCATTTTATTTTAAAATTCCCAGTAAGAAATTCCAAACAGACTAAAGTTAAAGTCCCCTAGAATTACTACCTTTTTTTCCCTTTTGGCCTTTACAATTTCTTCCCATAGCAAACTCCCTTGGTCCCTTACTAAGTTTTTGGGGGTGTTACCCGAATCAACCCGTGCCCCTCGAAAAAAATTGAAGGTTGTTTGTTACCCCAAATTAATGCCCCGTTTTTTTGCAAAAATTCAAGGAAGGTTGTGCCACCCCCCCAAAAAAAAAGGGGGGGGGGGGGGGGGGGGGGGGCAACGGGCCCACCCACCCCCCTTCCCAACTTCATCTACCTTAACAATTAAAAAAATTAATTTAATTTTTAAGCCCCCTTTTTAAAACCTTCCCCGTATACAAAACATAAAGTTCCTGACTAGCAAATTTTTCAACTCTCCTCTTCCTAACTGGCTTTAGAAATATAAATTTTTAAAACCCCCCTTTCTTTATTCCCGCCATTTCCATTTTTCCATAAACCTAAACTTCCCTTGCACCTTGCCCACCTTTTAATAACTACCCCATTCTCTATTATTCCCCCTAGAACTCAAAAATTTCCATTTACGTATTTCCCGCAAAACCCCATCCTAAACCATTCCCGTTTCCAAAACTCCCTCCATCATTGCCCGGCCCCCCCCGCCTAATAAGTTTAAAACCCCATCCCTCTCATGTCAATTTTGCCTGAAGAGGCCCCGTAATAATGTTCCCATTTTTCCTTTATTTTGTCAGCCACAATTACACCCCAATTCCCTGGCCCTTCGTTTCCAACTCCTCTCCTTAAAAAACCACAAACAGGGGTTTACCCCCCTTCCAAAATTCTATTGTTACTTATACCCCTAAAACAGGTTTTCCTCCTCCAATCTGCCAATTTTTGCCTTTTCCTCCTGAGGAGAAATAGGTTGCTTTACCTTTTTATTAAATTTGTCCAACCCTCAAACCCCCATCCCCCCCCCAGAAAATACCCTCGTTTTTTCCTCCCTAAGAAAACCCATCCTAAAATTAAATTTTGTCTCCCTTTTAAAAAATTTTTCCCCTTTTTAGCTAAAAGTTTCCGGGATTTTTTCCACTCACCCCAAATTATTACCAAAATTTTCCTTATTTTGAAAATTGAATTTTTAAATTTAAACCATTTCCGGAAACCCTAAGATTTTTTTAGCCCTATTTTACAACTTCTTTTTTTCCCGGGTTTTATTTTCCCTCATTACCCCCCAAAGCCTTTCTAAAGTAAGGGTTAGGGGGCCCTATCATTATAGGGAAGTTTTTTCTGGGTCAAATTTGAACCCTTTGCTTTTCCATATTTAATCCCTTTTGAATCTGACCAAAAATGTCGCATAAAAACTAAATGGGCTTAACCAAAAAATACTATTTTTGGAACAATGTATTCATTATTTTCTTTGCTATGAAGCCAAGGACTTTACCCCTTTTGGAAAACGCCTGTTGTCTTTTTTGATTTTTCTAACCAAATCCGTCCCTTTTTAAAACCGTAAAAAAAAAATTCTCTTTTTTTGTGCTTTAATTTTTCCTGTAACATTTTAGAAACTAACAATTTTCTATATTTAATCATTTACTTCCCCCACTGCAAGTTATTAAAATTTTGAGGCCCCTAATGTCCCTCATTTGAATGAAATTGACGTCTATTTTGGTGTCATCACAAATTTGACTTTATGTCAACTATTATCCTCCTAGTCGTTTAGTAGATTGTGAACAACAATGGCCCAACATTGACCCCTTGTGGCACACCGCTTGTGATGTGCCCTCCCTTTTCTCCCCAATTATATGCAAAACCCCATCTTCCTAGACCATCCCATGCACTCCGTCCCAAAAAAATTTTCGTTCACCTGTCCTTAAGTCTCCCCCCAATCTCTGATGTTGAACTTTATCAAAGTTCCTTAACCCTTACTCCTTTACCTTATTCATTTAATTTCCTTCTTTGCACCCCTCAAAATACCTTAGTGCAAGATACTTTAGAAATCTCCTAAGCACAGGAACGACAGCTTTGAAAACCGTGTGTGAGATTCATTAATCATTTATGCCCCTTCCGAGAGCTACGAATTACTTTCTGACAACCCCATCTATAAAATTTTCCCACTACATAACATTGGTCTAAGTACTTTCGGGAAACTAAATGTCACCTCCTTCTAAATAGTTAAATTGACAAGCAGGTATATGTAAATTTTCAGCTTTCAGCACTCCCACTCCAAAGCATATCTCCACATTGCACCCTTTGCTTCCACCTAAACCCAAGCCATTTTCCATCCTAAATATGTCACTTATGTTTCATCTGTAACACCTGTTCTTACCTTCATAAAAGCCATTGCTGGGCGTATAACTTCTCCGCTACTAATTCTTCAATTATAAACTCCATAAGTTTTACTATTTCCAAATAGGTACTACATTTGCCATTTTCCATTTATCAGGCACTATGCCAGTTTGTAGTGATATGTTAAAAAGATTAGCCAAAGGTACGCTAAGGTCCTCTTTACATTCCTTTAACACCCTTGCAAACAGTTCATCAGGGCCTGGGGATTTGTTAGCTTTTAATTTCTCTATTTGTCTGAGAACCATATCACTAGTTACCGAAAACGTGCATAGTTTATTATCGTTCTGTTCTACATAATCTATTATTTCTGGAATTTCGCTAGTATTTTCCTGGGTAATAACTGAGAGGAAGTACTGAAAATTTCAATATTTCCATCCTTCCCCATCCTTCTTCCTCCCTATCTTACCACAGCTCTGGTGATGCTGAAGTTAAATTATATACTTTATAATCACTTTGAAATTAAGTATAATTTATTTTAAGAAATATTTAAATTGGGTTTTAGAGTTTTGGGCCTAGCGAGCTGCACGTCCATTACGACGTAATTCTTTTTAAACCCGATTTTAATTCATAATATATGGTTTAAAATTTTTAATTATGTATAAACATTGTATAACCTAACATAATGTATACTTACCTCTGGTATCTGCTCGAGGGCGGTCTTTTGTATGAGGTAGACTGTGTTCTGGAAAAGAGGAGAGAAGATGCCCATGTCAGGGGGACCAGCAAACTTGTCGTTGATCACCTTCAGTATCGTTATCCTGAGGAAGGACAAAGTCTGGGCTCAAGGCATCATTTGTATCTTCATGGAAGACAGTTGTTCCTCTAGTTAACAAATCTCCTTCAAACAATGAAAAAAAATCTTCCCCAATATTGTGAAAAAATCTATTAAACCATGCTGTTTTAGTCACAGAATCCACCGAAATTTTGCACCGTGCAATTTTTTTCTTTAGCCCACTAAGTATAACACTGTTTATAATATATAAATAAATATATATATATATAAATATATATATATTTTTATATATATAATAATTTTATTTTTATCTTTCCATCTCATCTGCTAGGAAAAATGAGGGGGTGATAAAAAAAAACCCTTCAAACTAAGGATGCCAAGCCAGTGATGATTCTCTTCAAATCGCTTGTTCTCGCTAGGCGACTGTAACCAGATCATAAACATGTAAATAGTTTGAGGCTCAGTTCCTGTATTCATTATGCACCTCTGTAACCTTTCGACGACCGCCCTACGATGGGAATGGGATGCATAATAAGTTCGGTTCTAATGACCAAGCTGTTTGGTAAGATGGGGAAAAGGAAGAAGGATGGGTAAGGATGGAAATATTGGAAAAGGGTTTGGAAGGGGGGAGAGGTAGGATATAAAAGGTAAGTGGCCCAACCCACTTTGGTGTAATTAAAAAGTGTATTTAAATTGATAAGATATTCTTTAAGGGGTATAATCTGACCATCAGAGTCACAAAATAAAATAGGTATATAAGTACATGACTCGAATTGGTTTGTGTTATACAAGTTGCAATTGTTTTTTTTTTTTTTTTTTTTTTTTTTTTTTTTTTTTTTTTTTTTTTTTTTTTTTTGCGATTGCACAACGGATATTTATACAACAAGAAAGGCAATATTTTCTGGCCAGTTTATGAGCCCGTGAAAATAGCTTCTTAATGGTGGTGTCCAACAATAGTCAATAGCATAATTTGACATTAGAAAGTTATTTAAGATGTCTCCCTAATTGGGGGCGATGATTTTTCTCAGTATACATAAAAGGGGTTCTGGTAGTATCCAATCTTCTTCGTCAGGTAAATTGCTCAAAATCATGGGTCGAGGGTAATCATCTTTATGAATAAAACGACGAACCCTCTGTGGAGAGTCATTCTTTGAGTCCTGTGAGGCGGAGTATTGATGGTGTAATCGGTGGTATTTATCACTTGTATAGGATGTTCTCTATCTGGCATGTATAGTTCTTGCATTGTATAAAGTTGTTTCTTTTTTGGGGTGTCAAGGCGTACATTTAGGGCGTGATATCTTGTTGTATATGTAAATCTGCCATTTTAACTCTGTCTCTCCTCCTGGTATCGGTAATAAAGCGAAGGCTCTATTCTGGCCCCTTTGAAAACCGTAGCATGTTGGTCTTTGTTGTTAATGACATTGGGACCACAAGGGATTCAAGTATAGGTCTTATTATCATTTATACAGATGTTTTTTGACATGTTGGGGGGCTTGATTGAATCGAAAGAGTTGCTAAGACCGGCTTTGGCTGTGTTGATCTTTTTGTTACATGAGATGTTGAGTGGAGCAGCCTGTCATTTCATACCCAAGATCTTGTTGGGGTTTTTCTAATGGCTACAGGTGTACCTGAGGGATACCCCCTTTATCTTCGAGGGGTTGATGCAAAACATCCTATCGTGCTAACAAGGACCCTTGTCAGGATTAGTCGTAATTCTCCATTTCTTCTCCCAATTAGATGTTCGACGAAGTTCAATATTCATTTTTTCTATGACTCTCTCATACTTGTATTTTCCTGTTACTGGGTTGATTGAGACGACATGATAACATCATCTGCAAACTGTGTCACAATTGTGTCATTAAACTCTGGTTGAGGAAGGTCATTCACATAAATGTTAAACAGAAGTGGACTGAGACAAAAAACCCTTGTGGGACACCAGCCGTCGGTATAAAGGTTCTGTCGACTTGCCATGAAAGGTGGGAATGATTTTTCTTTGAGTTAAGAAATTATATATTACTCTGAGAAAAGTCCAGTTATGGTCTGGAAAGGTCAATGAGTTTGTATATAAGGCCATCATGCCATAAGCTATCAAAAGCTTTAAAGAACATCTCTGGGGGCAATTAAGGCAAGATTGCCCTGCTGTTTTAGACTTGCTACAGTGTCAAAAATAACATTTATTGCGTGATTGGTACCTCTATGTGTTCTAAAGCCAATTGTTTTTCAGTAAACAAGTGATTAACTCCATATAGTAATTCAATCTGTTGGAGATGACTTTCTCAAGAACTTTCCAGTGACTTCAAGAAAAGATATAGGTCAATAGTTCCCAGGTTGGTGGATGTCTTTATTGGGCTTAGCAAGAAAAGATCATTCTAGCAGTCTTAAAAACACTGGAAAAGGGTCCTGAGGCCAAGATGGCTTTAAAAGATTTTACCAGGACTGTTTGCAATTTCTAGGTAGGTACTTTATTTGTTTCATTGTTATTTCCAGAGAGGCCAGGGCTCTATTTCTCAATTCTTCAATAACCTGACTTATCTCTAGTAATGTAATAGGTCTAGTAAGGGGTGGGTATCTTCAAGATTTGAAGTATCGATGGTAGGTAGTGTTGTAGATCATCCAAGTTCTCATCTCTCCATTCATTTACTAACTGATAATGTTTTATTTTTAAAATTTGGGACGACTGTTATTGTGAGAGAGAATTTTCTCCATACATCACCATCAAATTAGCCTGGTCCTGTGGATCGTCAAGTTTAATTTAAACATCTTCATCATCCTCATTCAGTGAAGGTATGAACTAGGTAGTTAGAGCCTTGTGCTTTGCCCCTAAAAGTTGCGGATCTTACTCCAAAATTTTGCTGGTTCACTTTTTATATTGATTAGCTTGAAGAACTAGAAATTTCCATATGTCTCGTTTGTGTTGACTAATCATGTTAATTAATTCGTGCCTTAATGGGTGCAGTGTAGCTGCTGGTGGTTGTCGCGTTTGAAGATGCCTTCGACATTCTGCTTGATAATTTCTAAAGTGTTCTAATTTCTCTAGTAGGTTTATATTGTTGGTATATCTTTGTGGAAGCTAATTGGAAAGTTGCATTGGTAGCTTAAATTATTTCGATTGTGCAGGGACCTGATTGCTCATCAATTGCACTGGAAGGTAGATTTTCCAAAGACACAATTTCATCTTCACCCAGATATGCCCTAAAGGGGGTCAAATCCTAGGGTGTTAAGATTGGGTTTAGGAGTTACAGGTATTCTAAATGGAGAATTTGTAGTTGTATTATAACAGGGAATGGGCAGATCCTACATTTCCACCAGGAGATATACGACAGTGAAAGATGTCACAGTCCTGTTTGTCAGTACTATATCTGGTGTTCCTGGATGAAAGGGCCAATGTACGATTTGAAAAAATGGGCCTTGAAATGAAAAAGTTCTAGCTGTCATGATATTAAAGAGTTGTTTTCCTTTTAAGTCACCAGTGGAATACCACTCCACAGTTGAAGAGGGCAGGGGATGAGCATTAAAATCTCCCGCTAGAATTGTTGGAATATTTTGCTTAATATCCTATGTAGAGGAATTGACTCTACATATGGCTGTCTCGGGTAAAATATCCAGTTCCTATCACTAGTTGTCCATGAGACGTTGTTAGTTTTTATTGCAAGAATGTTATCTTCATCCACATGAATATTTTTAAATGTATATCCTAATTTAACCAAATTGCTACACCACTAAAGGGTCCTCTCGATTTTCCACAGTACAGTATCCACGTAATTTTTAATATGTTGATCAACTCTTGCAGCTGTCCGTTCAAAAGTATAACATCGGGATTGTAGTTATGTAGTTCAACCTCAAGAAGGTAACGGTTATTAAGAAAAAGTTGAAACATTAAGGGTTGGAAAATTGTAATCCCCCATTATTGCTTATTCTTCGCTCGTACATGCGTTTCTGAACGCCTGCAAGTAATGTTATGTGTTGTATCTACACTATCCCTGCTGGACTCGTCAAGGGGAAGAGGGAACTTTTGCGTGGATGCTTTTGTATTAAAAATGCCATCATCTTCACTAGAGGCAGTAATATTAACAGACTCATTAGAATCGTTAGAGTCGTTAGAATCATCATCTAAACTGAGGTATGCTATTCTCAGTTTTAGGAAGCAGAGGCTCGTGAGAGTTAATGGGACACTGTGTAGGGTCCAAGGGAATATTAGATGGCAAGGGGAGTTACCTTGGGAAAATTCCTGTTCAACAGGTTCAGCTACAATAGCGGGAGAGTAGGGACACTTTCTGGGGCATTTTTTTGTTCAGGTGTTGACTTATTGGGTTGAGAGTTGACAACCCGGTTTGCGAGGAGGGCGATCCTGGGCCAAGGATGACTTAGGCTTATTTTTAGATGTAGAGTATGGTACATACTTCTTGTTATGAGAAGGGTGGGTCATAATAGCCTTCACATTTTCAGGGGTAGTGATGGGAGTGATCCCATTATCCATTAAAAGATCATTTAAAACCTGAGAGCAGAGTTGCATGTCACCACCTGCTATGTCTTTGGCCAACAAGTACATTAGTTGTGCTCTCGTTATATCCCCGTCTGTGGGTACCCGAGAAAATATGAGATGCGACTGAACCTTGTTGTTGTGTCTGTTGTAAGTGAGGGTTAGATGGGGCGCTCCAAGAGGGGAGAATCCAAACATTGGAACCATTGGTAAGACCTGAGGAGTCCCATTTGATCAGGCAGAGCTGGGGAAAGGGAAATTTGGGACTGGTTGGCGGTGCCTGGGGAGTGGTCTTCTTAGAAGTGGAAAAGTTTCTTGGCGTCAAGAATTTTCTGCATTTCCTTTTCCTTCAGGACAAATAGCAGAAACAGCATGATGTTTTCCATTACAAAGGGGCACATTTAGGTGAATTTTTATTGGGACAATCACGATACGAATGTTGGCCAGAGCAAATGCTACCAAATTTGCCCTTTTTATACTGCATTTGTTGTTGTTATGAAACCCAAAGCATAACACTTGAAAATTGTGTCACACTGACAAAGCGTTCCATAGAAATTTTGGGCAGAAAATTTAAAATCTGTATTGAAACATTTGAAGCCATTTTGACATACAAGTTTGGCCTCCTCAGGGGTTCGAGTATTAATTTTAAAGTTACCTTATTGTTGTTGGGATTCGAGAATTTATGTGCTTCAACAGCCCTAAGGTCAGAATTCTCGGTATTAATGTTATCAACAATTTCATTAACATTGCTGTGTTTTATAAAAACTGTTGATTCTGGCCACAAACACAGTCCCTCTGAGCTTGATAGCTGTCAGGTGCAACTGGGATAACACCAGAAGTCCTCAGTTTAAACCAAGACATCCCTGCTTTAGGAGTTGAAGTAACTCTTCTTCCGAAGAGAGGAGAAGTACTGCTCCAGCGTGGGGTTTTTAAAAAAATCCACTGGAGCAACAGTTGAGTTAGAGCAAAAACAATTGAGAATGTCTTTCTGGACATTTGATTTCCAATCAATGAATAATCTTACACGAATCCTCGCCCTGATGCCTAGGAAGGAGCATCTGGCAGAGGAGTTGCTTAACAAAAAGGTATCTTTCCTTAATGTTAGCCTAACATCCTATTTCAGCTGACTTATGAAGGTCAGCTCCTAAGATAGCCTACCCTCGAGTAGTGAGGGGGAAAGGGCCCAAGGCAAAGATCGGCTGGATTTTAAAAAACCACACGGGCTACCAATGGTCCAAAAAGCCTTTTTGTTAACTCGCCCAAAGCGAAGTTGCCGAAAAAAAAGAAGATTAAAGGGCAGTCAGAAGGATAGCAATGTATGTAGGTGTTAAGTGTGTGGGCCAGTGTTGATGTAGGTGGGGGGAGGATGGGGAAGGATGGGGGGATGGGGAGGGGGGGTGAACAAGCAAGCAAGTCACCGCCTTACCCTCTTGATGGGATGGGGCTCCCAAGTGACTGCAAGCAAATCTCCTCTCAGCTCTGGTGAAGAACTACTCAGGATAACCCAAGTAAATTCTCGAGCAACAGTGTTCAGAGTTGCTCAGCTGAAGAGCGGGAAAGCGACGTTTCTCTTCCACGGTGGCTGGGCTGCAAATCGTGTCTTGTGCCTGTATCATGCATAATAAAGATATTAAAAAAATCACTCTCTCTTCTTTTCTCCTCTCTCCCCTCTCTCTCTCTTTTCTCTCCTCTCTCTCTCTCTCTCTCTCTCTCTCTCTCTCTCTCCTCTCTCTTTTGTATATCTTACCATATCTTGCCAAAGTCGACGTTCTTGACAGTGTTGTACTGCCAGGCGGGGGAGACAAGGTGGAGAAGATGCGGTCAGTTGCGTCTGGCAGTGAACGGAATTCATCATTGACGAAGTTCACGAAAGGGAGACTGTGTAGTCTTAAGAACTCGCAGACCTTCAAGCCCCGTCATTAGCTGCAGATCCTCTGTAAAAAAGTGTTATATGATGATTCCTATCAATGAATAAAGGGGGGGGGATTGACTTGATCCAGTAAACGCTCTTTATCCACGGAAATGCAGCTATTCTTCCATTCATTGGATCAAACCTGACTGCCAACTTTCCTAAAATTCTCAAAAATTTGACCTGTATGAGCTTAGTGCTTCCTCACGATAAATAAAAATAATGATAAAAATGTTTGGTATGAAGACAACTCTATGACTGAAGAAATATTTCCTAACATCCCTGTGACTCCTCTGAGTTTTCAACTTCCACTTGTGATCCCTTGTTGTTGTGTCCTATCTCTAAAAATTTTGTCCCTGTCCACTTTGTAGGAAAGTGTGTGAGTGTATGAGTAACCCTCATAATGTTGAGGTAGTTAGTTAGTTTAATATGTTTATTATGCACCTCATACCCATCCTGTGGGCGGTAGTCAAAAGATTACAGAGGTACATAATTTGGTCCAGGACTGGACTCCAAAGTTTTGATAGCTGAGCAAGTTACAATGGTATGAACTAGATTGGTCATAATCATGACAAGTTACAAAGGTAATGAGCTCCAGGTAGAGCTGGTCACACTCATGAATAATTGCAAAGGTAATGAATCATAAACACATTAATCATGATATTTACAAAGGTAACGAGCTCCAGGTAGAGCTGGTCAAAATCATGACAGGTTTCAAAGGTAATGAATGATAAACACGTTATCACATGATTACAATCATAGACAAATTACAGAGTAATGAGCAGTTAACAAACATAGTAGGGAATTCATCCAATGCCCCAACAACAGATGTTGCTAGGTTGCCTGTCTCTCCTCGGTAGACAGCCATTGCAAACAGCAGCAAGTTGCCCTGGGATCTGCTGCTTGCACGAGCACCATCGACCCTCCCAAGAGGTCCAAGAAGCCAGTGACTCCGTTAGCAGCCCGATGCAGAGCTCCCCTAGGACATGTCAGCGTCCTGGTGGACGCCAAGTTGATTGAAGATCCCAGGCCCTCGTGTGCACGGATGTTGAAGCTTGAGGAACTGAGTACACACTGCCTGTGGCAGTGTGTACTCAGCTCCCTGACAGCTGCCTCGCGGTCGAACTCCACGATGCTGTCCCTGCAGTGGAAGTTCCTGTGAGCCCAGCACTCCCTGCAGTGCCATCGCTGACATCGTGGGTTAGGGGAGAAGTACCCTCTACAGATGGGTGGCGCTGGGAGTTGGGTGGGTGAGCGGGGGAGACGCGCAGGTGTGAGGCGTTATGAGAGGGTCACTGTTTACTAACACGCCCTCCCCCTCCCCCCAGCGGAGAGGGGGGGAGGCGCTGACTGGTCCTGACTCGACAACACCAAATCCTCTGAAACTGCACAACACTTCAACTATTTAAGCTGAAACGATGCACTGGGATGTCCGTTCGCTGCTCTGGTATACCGATACCGTAAAGCGGTATCGACAGATACTCGCCGATACCGCTTTGTTAGGTATACTTTGTTAGGTGCCATTTTGTTAGGTACACCTGTACACTTTCTCGACTCTGGTGCTGGCGTTTCGATGGATGCTGTCCCAAGAAATATGTAATGAATGGTTTAGAAAACCGACAAGTTGAAGAACTGAGACACTTATGCAACAGATGGGAATCTTTATTGAAGAAACGTTTCGCCACACAGTGGCTTCATTAGTCCAATACAAAGTAGAAATGGGTAAGGATCTTGGTACAAAGACTTCAATGCTTGCCCAACCTTTGGACGACGGCCCTACTTACACTAGTGGCAGGTCCCACTGTGATCCCGCCTCCTCCTGCTTCACCTCATCTGACTGCAGTATATAAGCCACCTCTCTGGCCCTCTGCTGCATTTCCTACAAGAGTGATGGACTGAGCACATCGATTCCAGGTTGAGGGACTGATTACCTCAAACTTCTCCTCTCCTTACCCATTTCTACTTTGTATTGGACTGATGAAGCCACTGTGTGGCGAAACGTTTCTTCAATAAAGATTCCCATTTGTTGCATAATTGGAAAAACAGGCAGAAATATTTCAGTCCGCCTGAACGAGCATCGAAACTCAGCAACAGAGCTGATTTAAGGTGCCCACCTGTGTCCTCCACAGGGACTCCACGGGACATTTAATGAATTGGAAAGAGGCACAACTCGTCCTCGCCGAACAAGATCTAAGACGCCGACGATGTCTGGAAACCTCGCTAATCGCAATCATCGACACCATAGAACATAGTACTGAAAGCTACAATTTTTCAAAAACATTAGCCATAAACAATACTCACCAGGCAAATCACCACCTACCTAACCATGCAGGATATGTGACTTCATTGGTCTACCTATCCTTCATCTCAAATATGTCATTTTTTCAGAGTCACTACATGTCACTCACACCCCACTCACCGCCTATATATACTGTCATTTAAATCTGTGTGCTAGAAGTGATTCAAGGTCCAGGAACGAAAACGTTGTCTAATAAATATGCCTAGTGTTTGCTCGCGTGTCTTTTTAACCAAATCTGGCGATCTATATATTGCACTTCAATCTTTCTGTTGCTGATGACGATGAACCTTTATTTAATGTTTGAAGCTACACTACTGAGGGTTTTTGGAAGTTACTGAAGCCATTTCCATGATTCTGGGAATAGAATCAATAAGTTTGGTTATTGACCACCAGTACTTGGCAATTCTTCCCAAAGGATTGGTCTTCTTTTTCATATCAGGCAGTGAAAAATTCGAAGCTGATCGGAGAGGCGGGTTTCAGTTATGAGTGAAATTGATATGAAAATTTAGAGGAAGAATGAAAAAATTATGCAAACCTCTTAAAGTTCACTTTCGGGGATACTAAGTAACGATGCAATTAATGTTTGCTTTATGTAGATGTCGGAGACTATTTTGGTTGTAGTGTCAGTGAGAAAGTAAGATGACTGTATTCAATATTACATTTTGTTATGGCAGCAATTTTGGTTCAATCATTTACCCACTAGCACACAAGCCACATAATCTATGCTATGCTACAAAAAACCTAAACTGTTGTAGCAGTGTAATCACTTCCGGACAAGACAATCGTGAGAACGTGAGGTCACAGGACCCTGAGATGCTTAGGGGATTAGCCGTGGGGACGGTTACAAAGCATGGCTTGCTTCTGCTGTGTTTTAAAAATTGAGGTGGAGAGTTGAAGGAGGAGGTCTGCTTCTCCATGAGGAGGTTACGAGGCTGAAGGGTCCACCCCAATGGGTTCTGGGAGAGAGTGTGAGGTGGCTGGAGTTGTTGGGGATGAGCGCTTCTAGCAGTGAGGTGCAGTCTGTCTCCGGCTGTGAGGAGGCTGTAGGTGGGAGGATAGCAACGGCTACCAGAGTGAGGTGCAGTCCCAGCACCTGCTACAAGTGGCGAGTGGTGCCCAGTAATGGGAAGGAGACTCAGAATAAGGAAAGTTAAGAGTGAAGATCTGAAGGTAGGGAAATCGCCTTCTCTGTTCTTCAGGAGAATGTACTTCAGTGGCCAGTGAAGGTAAGGGTACTATGCCCCTGCTAACAGAGGTAAGCGCATTTTGTGGTTGGTGACTCTCTGGTAAGATATATTGACCCGTGCTTTTTGTAATAGGAATAAGAAGATGAGAGAGAAGCAGTGTGCTTCCCTGGAGCTGGTGTTGGGGTCATAGTTAACAGGTGGATAATATCATGTCAGGGTATTGGGAAACAAGCCCATTATCTGTCTCAGTTGCTGGTGGAAATGATATTTGGAAAGGGTAGGAGAGAAGAGCTGCTAGTTAAGTCAGATGTAGCTACAGATCTCATTAAAGTCTAAGGGAGGGTCCCATCATATGTAGCATCTTGCTCTAGAATGAGAAGTAGGAAATGAATGGTTGTCTAGGGCAAATTGGTTGTAAATGATGGCTAGACAGATTCTGCAAGGAACTTGCAATCCTTCATTGACAACTGGAAACAACTTTTTTATGGCAAAAAATGATATTGTATGCAAGGGATGGGGTACATTCTCTCTGGGGCTGGGTGGTAGCACTTGCAAACTCATTGAGAAGGCCATGGTGAAATGCCGGTGATTTTAAACTGATATGAAGATATAGGGTATGGGTGGGTGTGGGAAACAAGCAGGTTGCTAACACTAGTTGGAAACAGTAATGTTATAAAAGGATTCAGCATGAAGTTATAAATTTAAGACAATTAGATCAGGTCAGCAAACAAAGGGGGACAGCAGGGGGCAGCAAGGGACTAGCCCCTTAAGGTTTTACTATACTAATAGCAGGAGTGTAAGAAATAAGATAGATGAGCTAAGCTAATTGCAACGTGCATGAAAACATAGATATTATTGCTATAACAGAGACCTGGCTCAAGCTGAAAGATAGAGAGATGCCTCTGAATGTCACATACAAGGCTAATAAATTATTCCACATGACAGGGTCAACAGGAAGGGTGGTGGAGTAGCGATGTATGTCAGAGACAATTTATAATTGTTGTGTTAGACAAGATATAAAATTAGAAGCGTCAGCCACTGAATCTGTTAGGTTACAGCTTCTCGAGGGCCGAGAAAAAAACTAATTTTGGGTGTGATTTTACAGGGTCCAAATTTGATAGGGAGTGCAGTAAATTCTATGGATCGAAATTCGTAAGCATCTAATACGAAAAATGTTGTTGCTAATGGAGATTTTCAAATATAGGACAGATTGATGGAGCGATTTGGACAGTGAAATTTAGAGTCAGGTGACTTTCTTGATCGATCAGGATTGTTTTTTAAAACAGTTTGTGGACTGAGCCAATAGGGGAAATGACCTCCTGACTTGTTCTTGCCAGTAGGGAAGCACTAATTAATTATTCTTGAGGTTATGATTGAGCTTGGGGAAAGTTGATCCCAAAATCACTCAGTTTAATATATCATGGAATTCCCTTATAATGGCAATCAAGTCTCTGTCCTGATTTCGCCTTGGCTGATTTCATAGGGCTGAAAAATTACTTGGTGCTGAACTGGATGACCTGACTAATGGTCCGGAGGTGGTGATGGTTGCCGATATGACGCTTTCCAGGGCAAGTTCTAGCGTTAGTCAATTATATTTCCATATAGGGAAATCAGATCAAACAAAATTGATCCTAAATGGATGAACATAGATAAAATATCTGATTAGTCAAAAAGAGAGGCATATATAGGGCATATCAAGAGGAGAGGGGCAATTAAGAAATCGATATATTCAGTTTAAAGAGAGAAAATAAGAATAGAAAATAGAAAAGCAAAAGAGATTTATTGAGGTTAAGTTGCAAGAGAATCGAAGACTACCCAAAAGGATTCTTTCAGGTATACAGAAGTAAGATCAGGGACAGATAGGCCCCTCAAAATAACGTTCCTCGGGTCACTTCAATGACAGTGATAAGGAAAATGTGGTAGAATTTTTAACACATACTTCCTCCAGTTTTTACACAGGAAGATACAGCGATATTCTAGAAATGATTAATTATGTAGAACAGGACTGTTAATAAACTGTGCACGAGTAGGGTCACAAGTGACATGGTCCTTAGACAAATAGATAAAATTAACCTAACAAATCCCCTGGCCCTGATGAACTGTTATGAAGGGTTCTAATGGAATGTATAGAGAGCTTAGCAAACTTTGGCTAATCTTATTTTCAACATATCCACTACAAGACTGGCATGGTGCCCAGATAAGTGGAAAAGGAAAAATATGATACCTATTTCAAAGAGGTACGGTCCTTAGTTCAAACTATAGACCAAAACCCTAACCTCCATATGGGAAAAATTATGGAACAAATTCCGAGATTCGTACCCCCCCTTGAAACATAAATTAATAAAACAAACTCAGCTGGTTTTACAAAGGACTTCCTGCCTTACGAATTTATTAACTTTTTTCACTAAGGTATCTGGGGAGGTAGATCATGGTAAGAAAGATATTGTTATTGGGACTTCAGAAGGGCTTTGACGGGGGTCCCACACAAGACTATTGGGGAAAAATTAAGGCACAGGAATAGGGGGAAAAATTTTTTTCCTGGATAGGGGCATGGTTGACAAATACGCAAGAGTTTGCTAAAGGGGGAAAATCAGAGGGGGGAAGCGTACAGCGGGTGTTCCACGGGGGTCAGTGCGGGGCCCCCCCTGCTTTTCACAACTACTAAACGACATAGAGGGGGCATAAAAGCGAATCAAAATTTCCGATGACACCAAAAAAGGGCCGTCGAATTCATTTGCGGAATTGGCACCCCCGGGAAAGATTTGAAAGACGTGATGGGGAGAAGGGCAGATGATTTAATATAAAAAATCAAATTCAAAATGTTGGACGGGACAAAACCAGCCACATATAAACTAAATAATTTTAATCTTAATTTTAGGATTCGAAAAAGTTTTTAGGGTTCTGGTTGCAGTTCTAAAACCCAAAGACAACATGCATAAGTGTTCGCAAAAAAGCAAAAAACCCTTTGGGTTTCATATCAAGAAGCATAAATAAAAGGAGTCTCGGGTTGTTTTCCACTCTATTCCCTTTGGGTTGGCCCCATTTAATTTTGCTGCACAGTTTTGGTCACCGTATTTTCAAAAGGAAAAATGCCTGGAAAATGTACAAAGGGGGATACAAAATTGATCCATGTATCAGAAACCCTTCCCCATAGGGTGCTAAGGGCCCCGAATCGCACCTCGAAAGACTAGAATTAGGGGGAAATGATTGAGGTTATAAAAAGCAGGGAAAAAATAAAGGGATTAAATAGTTGCTGAAAAAATTTGCCTAGACAGGGCCCACAAGGTTTCAAGTTTGGAAAAATTCAGTTTAGGAAAGGGTTTTAGGGAAAAACTGGGTTTTGGAATGAATTTGGAGAGTGGGAAAAAGCTCCCCCAAATACAGTTATAGAGGGCCCGAACTTGTTAGCTTTTTAAAAAAAGGTTGGATAAATCATGAGGGGTTGGGTGGGGGTGAGTTGGACCTGAACTTGTCTACCAGGGCGGGGTTTTTTCCCTTTTCCCCCCTTAAGTCAATGTACCTGACCGACTAATTGGGGGCATTGGCTTAACCGGGGGAGCTTGGCCTGCCTCCATGGGCCCGTAGGGGGCTGCAGCGTTTTTTCCTTCGTTTCTTATGTTCTTTGTTCTTATCACAAGACCTCCACACTCATCCTGACC